GGAAGACCGAGAAACATCCAACCTATGCCAAAACCAAGAGCAACAAAAGACTAGTTGGAGTGAATACGACAACTAGTTGGAGTGAATACGACATCTAAAAAACATTTTACATAATTTATCAGCAATTATATAAAATGATTAACAATCTCAAACACGAGTTAAGGAAACGCCCTACTTATGATGAAACGCTTAAGCAAGCAATAACAAGCAAAATAAAAACAACAGTTATATTGAAGAAATACAAGAAAGGAATGTTATTGACTAATTTGATTTTGATGAACTAGATTTAATGAATTATAAAAATAAAGAAAGATATTTGAACGCAGAAGTTATGATATCAGACAAGGCAACGCAAACACTTAACAAAGAAAACAAGGCAACACAAACAGACCTACCACAAGATAAGGCGACACAAACGTATAATTTTGATGATGAGACAAAACTATTAGGTGGGTCTTCAAAGAGTTTCAAAAGCAAACTGATAACCAAGGCAGAAGCAGAAGCATTAGCATTTACATATGACCCGACCCTGATTTATATGATGATGACGATGATGATGATGATAAAAAAATGATGACATTGATAAATACAGAAAGAAACTGTTTATGATGATGAGGATTATAGAATTTATGTTGAGGTCAGGTTTTAGTATGGGTCAAATAGTAGCACATTTAACATATCACACTACATTGACTACAATTCAAATTTCAGAGTTATTAGTTAATTTAACAATGAATTCATTAGTATCGTCTTATGATATAGCAAGTGCCATAATGAATTGGTTGAACACAAATGTTACTGAAGAAGTTGAGTTAAACACTGAACCTCCTGTTAGTGTTCATAGTTCTCCGCCTATCACTGTTAATAGTTCTTCAACACATACTGTTCATTCATCATCGTCAGAAGAAAATGCTAATTATGAAATAGCACCTCCTACAGATATGCCTATTCCTACCGGTGTGGATGGGGACGAGTCTGAAAGTGAAAATGATGAAACTGAAAACCAAAATACAAACCCTTCAAAAACTAAAACTACTTAAAGAAAAATGGATATAATATGGTAAGACAAAAAATGACACTATTTAATTATGATAATTGTCCTTGTAAAAATAAAAAAAATGTAAGTCTGTCGTAGCACTAGCTAATATTTTACCTGTTGATGTTTGTAATCTTATAGGTGGTTATATTAGAGTAACATGTTTTAATTGCTGGTATTTGATGGATGAAGAAGAACTTTTATGAGAGATAAAGACATTCCTGAAGAAGGACTAGAAAAAGCAGAACTTCAATTAAACATTATTAAACAAATGCAACATAATGATATTACACAACTAGCAGAAAACCAATATAGTATAAAAATAAGACATTACAGAAAACACATTGACCGAGTATTTGATTTCAAGAAGTTAAAGAACGGTTTAAAAATAGAAAAATGTATTATCAAGCATTAAAATCATACTGTAAGAATAATGAAAATGAAGTTTGTATCATTTTAAGAAAATGTATTGACATTGAAGATTTAAAAAAATTAAACGTTGTAGGTTTAGCTTTCCAAACCTAAACAGTTGGTGGTCATATAGAAATAGAAGTTATTATATGAGAAACATATTAAGCGACTTAATTGAAATTTACACAGACCAATTAATCAAAGGATACGAGCATTATTGTTGTGAGTATAGTATGAGTTGTTATAGTGGTTGTATCGATGGTGAGGTTAAATACGTGACAAATTAACTTTTGTGTATTAATATTATTATCTTATAATATGATTAAATTCTTCAATCCCCCAGAAAGCCTTAAAATGGTCTGAAACTGAAACCCAAAATACCAACCCTACAAAAACTAAAAAAGACTTAACTTATTACATTAAGTGAAAATATGGCTGAAATAAGATTAGAGGACTTGAATTTAGAAAATGTCGGAGTGATTGCTGACTTATCAATCTGGACACCATCAGACGAAGAAGATGATGATAATGACAGTTATAGAAAGGAACTAGAAGAAGAGATAAACAAAATAAAGGATTTCATCAAAAGACACCCTTTGCCACCAGTTGATGAAAACGAAGAATTCTGGAAAGATGTCATTAACAGGTTTAAGGATAATAGTGGATTTTGCTTGATGGCAATATACTCATTTGCTAGGTTTGACATGATGAAAGAAATGTATGAAAACCTAACAGATGAAGACATCATAAAAGACTGTGGTAAGAAGTTAAACCGAGATGGAAAGTTTAAAGCAATGATTATTAACCACTATATCTTATCAGATGTGATACGGACACTAAACAAAGAAGACAGTCTAGTAGATGGACAGATGCGAATTATTGAATACTGGTGGGATGGAATAGGTGTATGGAAAGCATGAGTGATTTAGTTTATTCATATTATTTAATTATGATGTGATTAAACACTTGTGTCCCCCAGAAAGCTTAAAAATGTTCTGAAACCTGAACCTTGAAAATGTTAAATTGTTAGACTGCTATTAAATGAAAAATTGTAAAAAAAAAATAGAAAAATTCCCCACAATCCCTCTTGGTGTTTTGAACAAAATGATAGGCTTGTTGAAAATGAACCCTGAACCCTGAAACCCTACATTGAAAATTCCCTACCCCAGGGGCCCCCTATTACTTATTTTTTCCCCTCCCCGCCAAGCACCCGAGCACGATTACCTGGCGTGTCGTCAACATCGAACGTCACTACCCCTCCCCCCCCTCCCCCCCCAACAAGGTACATGAATGTCAACATGCACCGAAGCTGTTTTTGCTGGCAGGGACACGACGCCCTCGCAACGTGCACACCAACAACAACAGCTACCAGACGCAGCGTGAGCCAACTAACAATTGCGCAGAGAAACAAAGATGCAAACAGCCAAAAAAACAGGGAGGCGCAGGGTCCAGCAAAGACAAAAAACCACAAGCACCAGACTACCAGCTATTCGCCTCTCATTTTCCCCGGCCCCTCGTGGCGCAAGACCCCTCCCTGCTGGGCTGCCGGCACCATGTCCGCGCCAAGGTCCTCGGAGTTTACGTCAGCTTCGGATGCAATGTGACGTTGGCAGAAGTCCCACAACACCGTGTTGGTACATTTTCCACTTGCCAGAGTTGCGCAACCAGGCGCTCAGTGCAGGGGTGGGGGTTGACTGGCCGGTACCATATATACGGGTATACAACTGAATGCCTGCAGTGTTCAAAAGCAAAGCTGCGTGGAACAAGGCCGAAGTTGGCAGTTGGGGTTGTGGCAGTTTTTCACGATTTTCGCAACGCTGAATGGTACAAGGGTTCCACTGCTCCACAACCATTGTCTCTTGGGGCAAAACGAAAGGCTATATACTTCGCCGGAAACCCTCGACCAATGCTACCAGCCAGGTGGCTAGACTCCTGGCCTCATGGTGCCTAGAGCCAAACACCCGCGGAGCAAGCCACGCGACGCCAGTGAGCTCGAATTTGCTGGGGATGCAATTGATGTGTCTATGCCTTTTGTATATATATATATATATACATATCATCTGTATACACCTATATAATATATAGATATATATATATATGAACGCGCGCTGCGGTCAAAATCTCTGCCTTCTCAGTCTAAGCAATCATATTCTTCATGCAATCTAGCAACCCAAGGAACGTTGCGCAACAGGTTGCGCAATGGTTTTCAACAAGCCTTAAGGTTGGTTGGCTGCCTGGTTGCCCATGGTTGGTTGCGGGCTGCGGGCCGTGCTGGGTTGGATTCAGGGCCTCGCCAAGTGTTTGGTTTATTTCCGGCTGAATTTGTTGCGATTTCTACCTCATACCTCGAGTTACTAAATAATACAAATAATAATAATGATAATAATAATAATAATAACGTCTACCTCGCAAAGTTAAAGGTCCACCTCGCACCTCGTATTTCGGGGCCTTCCTTGCTTCTTAATCAAGGGGCGCAAAACTGCCAACTGCCAATATGCTCGCACCGGCGTTGTGCAAGACTGGGACGACAGCGGACAAAACCTTACCTTCAAGTTGCCCAGCTTACCCTTCCTGTCTGAAGACACGCGACACTTTTTTGACGGTCCACGTTGCCCGCCAGCAGACGTGGTCTTTGCGCAGTCCGAGATGGCCAACGCTAGGAGCTGTGACAGCCATGCCGCAGGGCGATGTCAAAATACATCTACCACTTGTGCTGGTGGAGTTCCTCATGCAACAGGCCGAAATGTCATGGATCTGCCCTGAATCTGACCTTCCATAAAGGCCCAACCTCCAACTTGATGCAAAACCTACGTGCAATTTCATGTGATCTGATGGGTGTGCAGCCTTGAGACTTGACCAAAACAGCTGTGCTTGAAACGCGCGTGATCCAACACTCTCAGATCCAACCTCAGCTCAGGTGTCTCATGAACAGGACCCTTGAAAATGTTAGTCCAAAATCTGCCCGGGAGTGACACTTGCGAAACTTGGCAATACTTGTATATATATATATATAAAGTCTGTAAGAGCAGGCCCCCCCCATTCAGCTTCATGAGCTCAACCTAAAACACACGCCGTGCCCGACGACAGGAATCTCACACCCCTTCAACCCTAAACCACTCTAAATCAGCCGTAAACCAACTCTAAGCCAACCCTACAACGATCCCCTGGTTTTGCCAACCCGGGGAGGGAGTCTTCATCTACAGCCACTTACTGCTTTGGCGAAGCAACAAAAACATCTGCTGTGGGCCTTTCCACACTTTCGTCTGGCCAAAAACCTTGGTGACAACGGTGGTCACGAGGCGTATCTTGCAGAACTAGAACTCTATGCCGCTTTATGTATTCAAGGAAGACTGCCTGTAACTAATGTGACAAATGAGCAGGACGCGCGGCATTTCTTCGAAGTCATTATCGCTGCATTGCGCCAATCACGGCGGATAGCCGTGAAACACGGGTAAAAGGAGCGCATTGCATGAGAAAAAGGCTGACGGCACTGCGAAGAAGCATTTGGACACAACAACTCCTCAACTCCCAGTGGACAAAAAAGACTGGAATTCCCCCAAGTTTGCTTCAATCATCCGTTTGCTCTGATTGGAATCAGTTCCGCCATGGGCTCAGGGATGCCTGAGCGGCGCCCAAAACCCATTGACTGTGGGCTCCAACATAGTAGAGGCCACAAGGCCAAGCACTAGAATCATCTACTCAAATGGTCAATGGGGGGTTCGAGCGCTCACTTCGTCTCCGACATCGTGGGCCAGGATGGCACATCACACCCAATTCCCAGGTGACAGGAGCTTCCTCTTTCCGCTCTTGCAACTGGGTTTGTCGCAGCGGACTCTCAAAATGGTTGGTTTCACTTTCCCTTTGAAGCCAAAAAACGCTCAGCCCTTGACACCATGCCCAAGCTGTAAAATGAGCTGCCCAGAGCACGCAAGCTTGGATCGCAGTGAAACCTGGGCGTCAGGCTGCACCCGCAAGATTAATTAATTGGAAGCGTGTCTCGCTAAAGGTAAAACCGGCCATTTTGGGGGTGCCCCTATTCTTCAGATAAACGCAAAGGGAATAGAGGTGGCGCCACAAACGTGTCGCAAACCTGGGAAAGCGGCGGCAATGGGCGTTTGCCAAATGGCCATAATTCAACCAATCCATTGCCTGACGAAGTACAGCATCTGTCTGTTGGTTTCGGGCAGTTGCATCCGTCACGATCATCACATACGGCTTCCTATGGGTTCGGACGGCTTCTTCTCTGGTCCGCACTAGGGTTGGGCAAATGTTTAAACAAGGAAAACAACCACACCTCTGGCCTCAGGGAAACCAAAAGAGGTCGTTCAAGCAATGCTTAATCAAACATGGTTGTACATGCTGTACCAGAAGGTTGGCCACCAAAGGGAGACGCTAAAGCAAGGGGTTGAATCGCATCCTAAGCCTTCACCACGCAGTCTGGGCTCCCGGCAAAGCAACTGCCTCCCGATTCGGGAAGAGTCGCTAGCGCTTGCTGACTCGCTCTTGCAGGCGCCGGATAAGCTCGTTGAACCTCCGGGGTTTGATATGACGAATTGGAAGGTCTGCTTTTTTGGAGGGTGCCCTTTTTGGGGCTTGCGGAAATCAAAAGGGAACGTCCCATGTTTTGAGTACCCCTGCTTTGACATGCCCATTTCGTGCTTGGACACCTGAAAGCTCGTTTGATCCCGGGCCGGTGAAATGCCCAGATGTGCATCTGCTCGCCCAAACAAAAGCCAGGGCCGACTGCTGGATTGAACTTCGCAACTTCCCCAACCCCCGAACCCCCCGAAATCTCCCAACCCCCAACCCCCAACCCCCAACCCGCAACCCCCAACCCCCAACCCCCAAACCCCAAACCCCAAACCCCAAACCGAACCCCCAACCCCAAACCTCCCACCCCAACCCGAACCCCCAACCCCTCCCCAAGCCCGCGTGCCCTTCCCACAGCCTGGCCCCGCCTGGCGTCCGCTTGCTCCCGAAGCTGGGCCTCCGCGTCCCGCTGCTCCTCGCGTCGAAAGGGGCGGTGGGCCGGGCGGTGTCCGCTGCAACGTGTCTCTTTGCTGGGGACCTGGGGTTCTCCTTGGCTTCCCTTTGAAACGACCAAAAGGGGGTACCCTCAAAAAACACAAACACTTTGTTGACATCTGTGTTGTCTGTGAAACCTGGATGGCGTGTCATGCGTGTCATGTTTGCTGTAGCTTCAACGGCGGCAAACAATCGATTGGCCTGAAACCTGGTGACAAGGGAGACTTGTTGCTTGCTCCCCTGCACAGGAACATGGAACCCAAAAGCCACCATTGCTATAGAAAAAACTCCTTTTGGCCGACGGTCGCTTTTTCTTGGGATTCCATGAGAAATGCCTGTGGGCGTTCTTTGCAAACCCTTTCAACAAAAAGGAGGCTTTACGGCGGGCCTTGTCTGCGGTCAAGACTCAAAAATGCCGGGGAAATCCGCAAGCTGCACTGTGCCCTTGACCGCAGTCGTGAGCTGCGTTGGCGTATCTCCATTGTCCACACAGGAGTGAAACATGAAACAGGTGCCACGTGAATCGCAGAGAGAGAGAGCGCTCCATGCCGTGATGTGCGTCCAGAACTAAAGCACGCGAACATCACGGGTTCTCTGCTTACAACGCCTCATGGTCTGGAACATCGGCGGCGTGCATAACAAGTAGGCGTCTGGAGCATCAAGCGACCTCTACGTCTCCCTGGCAAACCGGTCCCTGGCCACCCAGGCGCCTGCGCCTCCAGCAAGTCGTTCTTGAGCTTCTCCATCTCCTGCCAACTGTCAACTCTTGGTGTCTGCTTGAAAAACCTAGTTGGCGCCGGACCGATAGACTGATTGGAACAAGTACACAACCAGAGCCCTCTCTTTCTAGCCAAATCGACTTGAAAGGACGCCCATAGCTGGACTTGTCACGCACATTCAGGAACGCGGCAACCAGGACCCAAAAGCAAGCTACTGAGTCACTGGCAAAACTCCAAGGCAAAACTCCAAGGCGTGGCCATTTTCGCGGTTTCCCCTGCAGAGTTCTTCTCACTCAAAAAGAGCTCGGTTGAGACTGCCCGGCAAAAATCCGCCTCCCAAATTGGTTCACCAGCTTTGGGGGAACGGAACCCTTCAAGAACCTAAGTAGCTTCTCGTCCATGATCTTAGCTCGCCATCTCCGGCCGCTCGCTGCGAAAATTGTATGAGAGGACCGGGAAAACCAAAGGGAGCTTGAGAGTCAGCCCGGGCATCGCAGGCTCTGTCGCCCAATTCTGGTGTGACTGTTTGTTCAACTACTTTGACGGTTGCCATCCCCCAAGACCCAAGGGAAACTGGAGGAACCCAGCCATGTCGGCGATTTCTCCGACCTGGCTCCACTTTCACGTGCCTCGTTTTGGGAGTTGGTTAGAGGGGTGCCCCCAAGAACACGTCGAATTTCTTGGGGTCCGCTTTTTGAAAGGCTTGGAATGACCATCAAAATAATTAGGGATAAACAAAAGTCCGGTAATAATTGGTGTCCCTTGCGGCCTGTTTCCCTCTAAACCTACCTGACAAGGGTACCCTGAAAACCCATGCGACTCCATCCCCGGAGAAACCGCGCCTCCGTGAGCTGCTGTTGCCGCTGCGAGGCCGCCTGCGCCTGCCGCGAGGCCTGAATTGGCGGGGGGAAGTCTGCGTTTGCGGATTTGTTTTGCGGCTTCTTCCGTTTCCATTGGGATGGGATGGGCATTGAATGGCTTGGGATTTAGGTTTTTGTAGGGTCAAGATGTAATTCAGCTTTGTCGCGCTCGTTCCTTCGTACACGGCGAATGCACTCGTTTTGCACCAGCAGTGTCAACATCGCCGGCATCCGGGGCTAGGTGAAGGGCTCAAGGTTGGCTCAGGGGTTCAAGACTTTATTAGGGCAAGCTTGGGGGTGGGTTTAGGGTTGGTTTAGGGGTTCTGCTGGTTTGGGCTTGGTTAGCTTGGCTGCGCTTTTGCTGATTTACGGTGGGTTAGGTTTTAAGCAGGGCTTGCCTAGGGTTTGTTTAAGGCCAGTTTAGGGCTGGTTAGAGTGGGTGGAGGTTTAGGGTTGACTTAGGGTAGGTTTAGGGTTGGTAGGTCTAGAGTTGGTTTGGGGAGAGTTTATTGCCGGTTTAGCGTGGGCTTGTTTGGGGTGGGTGGTTCGGGCGGGTTCTTAGGGTTTCATTAGGGTGGGCTTAGGTTGGGTTCAGTGGCGGTTTTGGGCTTAGGGTCGTTTAGGGTGGGCTTTGGATTCTTTAGGATTGGTTCAGTGGTTTGGTTTTGGCTTTGAGGTGATCACAAAGCCGGACAGCGGCCCCCTAAAGAAGCGGATCCTCCCCCCCACCCACTAGAAACAAGTGAGGACACGAATGGAGAAAGCGCGGCGATTAAAGACAAGGTGCTGCAAACCGCCGCCAAAAGCCAAAGCTCCAAAAGCACCAAAACACCAAATCAGAATATGTTGACCGAGGGTGGGTCTCAAAATCAATTTGTGGAATTTCCTTCTGGTGCCCTTGCCTATTCTTGGAAACCAATCAGTGTAGGAGTACCCCGTGTTTTGAGACAAACCCATAGAGTAGGACCCTTTCTTCTTTGGCAACATCTACATGGTATGTCGAAATAGGCGGACCCCCCCAAAACAACTGTCCTGTTGGTTTCCAAGAAGACGCATCCCCAACAAAAAATGATGCGACAAGCAAGTGTGCAACGATGATGATTCCCATGTCTGGACACCATGACCATGGCAATCACAGATTCGGAGTCTTGACCAGACATGCGAAGGCAAAGCCCTTGTGCCCTCCTGCCACTAAGACGCACTCAAAAATGCGTGGGGTTTATGAGCCTGTTGGATGTGGCTGCTCTTTGACCCCTGTCGTGCTCAACATCATGTTGGCTTCCTTAGCTTCTTAGTGTTGGCAACAGCTTGCACGCCGCCTTTCCACGAAATGACTTCGCAGACTCCCAGAGGACCTGTAATGCCACACGGTGCAGTGAGCTGCTGGACCCCTGCGAGCTGGATCTTAGACTTCTTCAGATGAAAGGGAAAGTCAGAGGGCTGAGCTGTTGCCATTTGGTGCCTGCCTACAGATAGCATGGACCGCCTCGCCTTGCCGCCCCGCCCCGCCCCGCCCCCCCCCCGACCAAAAAAAAAGAAAGGTTGGTGTCCTTTTGGTTCTTCTTGAAAACCACCAAAGATGGGGTACCCTCAAAAAAAGACAGACCCATATACAAGTGGCTCATCATAACCAACCCCCAATGTCCAGGGTGGTGCCATTGCATGTCTGCCTTTTCGGACCATGAGCTGACATCAAGGGTCGCGAAACCAAAACCCTCTGAACATGGGTCTCTCTCTTTTTCGGGGGTACCTGTTGGGGGGTTTAAAGGGAAACCAAAAAGGAAAACCGGATCACCATTTTGCGGGGGGGGGTCCAAATCCTTTTAAAAAAAAAAGGCACAATCCGTGTGGAGTTCCGTGGCGAGAAATCCATCCCTCTCTGCCTCATCGGCGGCCTCCGACACCTGCGGAAAACGACGAACGGCTTGGGAACTGCAGCTGAGCCGTACGTCTCGGGCGCCGGTGTTGGGTTTTGGCTCCAATCTCCTCAATAGAAACATTGACTCCATCTGAACTACTTCCCCATTTTGACCCTGGCACCTAAGGTCGGTTGTCTGGTCCTGTCTGGTGTGGAACCAGTGAAGGTTCTTGACCATGGCACGCAAGGATTCCTACGATAATTGTCCTTGAAACATCACCTACACCAATGAAAACTCTATGTACTTGCTGAATTTCTTGTTAAAAGTTGCATGGCAGTCCCGCAATAGCCACGTTCTCACCGCATCTGTGATACGCGTCACCGAAGGGCCTCATTTATGACTATGAATATTCAATAGGGGACCCCCTCCAAAGTGTTGATTGACATGAATCCCCACCTGAATGGTGTCCACCAAAGGGGCCCCAATTGAAATTCAGAGCCATGCATATGTGCCATCAAAAGATCCCTTTCCTTGGGTAGAGATGGTCATCCTAAGTGTCGCTTGGGATGATTGGGAAGAGGTTTGTTTAAATGCACATGCTTTGCAAGTGAATTCATGTCCACCAGTGGAAATGTTCTTGTTTGGGGGGCTGCCAAATGATGCTCTATGAACGAACAAACAAACAAACAAACAAACAAACAAACAAACAAACCAACAAACAAACAAACAAGCAAGCAAGCAAGCAAACACACACACACACACACACACACCACAACAAAACACAAACACAACACAACACAACGCAACGCAACGCAACACAACACACCACACACACACACACAAAAAAAAAAAAACACACACCCATCATGTATATGTTCTTGAATATGCTGCAGGTCGATGAATCTGTACACCCGAAACTACCTTGAACCGTTCCAAAAAGGGATTTCGGATGCCTTGTGGGACCCCCGTAGATTGCAAAAAGGATACCGTCCCAAATTGAAGCGGATTCCTTCTTTTCAAACCCACGGGTGCAGCTGAGCTCGCAAGCGCGGCCTTTTCGTCGGGCAGTGCCTGCCTTTCCTCTCAAGGCTGCTCGGTATCATCGCCCGAGCGGAGGACGGAAGCTGAGACAGCTGTGGACCTGAACGGGCTTGTGACATAGCCACCTGTCTATGGCCTGAAGCTGTGCACTCCTGAATCCGCTATGCACGGTCTTTGAGTATTTTCATGTCACACTCCTCACCCGCTATGCATAGTCACACGCCGAGGAAACAACGACTCCCCCGACCTGTGCAAGGATCCTCCGTCTGCACGGGTACGTCCAGTCGACCAAAAGGCGGGCTGCTATAATGATTCAATCAACTCGACGTCCACGCGCGAAGAAAACAGGTGAGACATTCAATCGCAGGGCTTCACCTACAATTGTCGGCTATGGCTGGCCAAACTTTCTGTCAAGCCAGTGCCTGCAGCACGTTCAGCAACCGCCAAAGTGCTCTACTCCATTTTCCAGCCGAGATGAGATTCATCTGCGGGCCCAGCCTCAACCTCCCTGACAACCGATGCGAATGTGTGTGTGTGTGTGATTGTGTGTGTGTGCGTGTGTGTGCACGTGTTGTCCTCGAAACAAGCGCACAAGCTTTCGTCGGGGTGTGACAAAACACCAAGCAAATGCATGCTTGTGCAGCCAGCTTTTCCTTGAGGGTGCATCGGATCATCATACGGCTTTCGCTTGCTTCTTGGGCTAGATTCCTATCGAGGTTTGTAAAATGAGGGCTGTTATATGTATATACAGAAAACACGAGTGCATGTTTCCGAAAACTCAGCTAAGTCATAGAGTCAGCAAACACTTACGAAAAAGGCCTCCACGAGAAACGCTCGGAAACAGAGGCTCTTCCGGCTCAACAATCTTTCCATGGGGCAAATACGGAGCGGCGTTTCTGTATCTATTGGACTAGCCGCAGCAGCTCGCATGTTGTGCGCCGCGAGTGATGGGATGGGAGGAAGGATTGGGCCAAAGCAGTGGCACTTCGGAGGCAATTGGCCGCACCTGCACACGCATTGCCCGCGCACAGTTGTTTCCTCATGGATTGTGTTTCAGGGTGCCCCCTTCTGGGGTAGCTTTAACAGGCAACAAAATGAAACCACCTATTGGTGGGGTTCCCCGATTTTGAACCAGGTCTCCAAATGACCTTGAATTTCTTGAACACATTGAAATCATGACAGCAGACTAATCTCTTTGGTCTGGACAAACCAGCAACTGGAAAACCCCAAACGGGGCTAACTTTGGGTGAACCGAATACCACCCACGGAACTCCAAGGCCCGGCAATCCAACATGGCGTTTGATACATGGACGGAATTTGAGGCAACAGCAACTGATACATCAGCTCGACACTCGGTGCACAGGTCCGGAATGATTCTGATCGCCTCTCGATCCGTGAATTATAGAGCGCCAGCTTGCTGGCTTGCCGCGCGCGGTATGAGGTCTTGCCGGGTGCTCTATTGCCGAAGTCTGGTTTGAAGCCAAAACTGAAAGGACGTTTTTCTCAAGTCCCTTGGTGCATTACCTCTCAACCGGCCAGACCTACCTTGCTTTTTGATGCGGTCCATAGACTGTGGCATACGCCAGGCGATGATCCCTCTCAAATCCCAAGAAGGCTGATCCATCCAGTGCGCCTGGACCGGCAGCGAAACCACCGGCAAACAAAAAACGACAACCCAACCACGTCACCCTTGGTGGACATGTATGGATTTATTGTTTGATTTGTGGTCTGCTACCTTTTTTGGGCTGTCTTGAAGGAAAGCGGAAAAGGGGAGCTCATGTATCTTGAGACAAACCCGTACATGTGCATGTATCAAGAAGATCCACATGCTGTACATGTCGACTTATCTGTTTTCTTAACCAGTGATCAATGCAAACCAAATTCGCTTAGGGCTGGCCTACAAGAATCGACCCAGCATGGTGAGCACAAAGAAAATATGTGGCTTCGTTCCCGGAGCAAGGCTGCTGCTCTTGGCCAGCGAAACCAAGATCCATCCTCAAAGCAGAAGTACGGCTCAAGGCTGTTCAAACCAGGTTGCTTGCCATCTGTTGGCCAAAAGCAAGTCAACCACCTCTGCCTTTCTCCCTTTGACAGGCGTCGGACTTAGGAGGCAAGCTTACCTTTGACCAACCCCTGATGTCAGTCTTGGGAGTAAACTAAATCCACTAGGGGCAGATTCCTTTTAAAACCAAAAGTGGAGCCTTAAAAATATTCTTTGCAAACGCAAAGGTGGGGTTTATTTTTGTTTTTGGGGGCATCTGGTGGCGGGCCGTGCGAGTCTCAAAGTGCCCCCGCAGCTGCACAGAAAGGTGATTTTGACCTTTCCTCAAACAGGAATGACCACGGGATCCGGAAGTATGCACAGCAGTTAATAACCCCCAAACTAATTCCCAGCGACCCCCCGTCACATATTCTGAGAAGGACCCATCAACGGAGATCTCCAGGGATGGCCCCCTGTAATTCCTCTTGGGTGTCCCTTTTTGGGGAACCCCCAAAAAAGGGATTTGACCCAAGGTGAAAATCCACTGGATGTGGGCTTGTCTGTGTGTAGGGGACCCCAGGAAGATGGACTTCCTGTTGGCCTTAAGACCACCACAACAGGGGTTCACTTTTCAGCCACGACTTTTTGACCCAGCCCCTCGCTCGAATCCGGGGCCCCTCCCGGCCTCTGATCGGGCCGAAGGCCTGCGATTCGCAATCCACGGGTTTGGGTAAAGGGACTTGGACCCAACAAGCGGGCTCGTCTTTTTGGTCAGGCTACCCTTTTCGTGGTGGTAAAGGGAAACGAAATGGGAAACTCACTATCAGGGGTCCCCTATATTGAGACAGACCCAACTTGTTTTCCCCTAACGACGATCCTGAAAATGGCACCCTCCAAAACAAACCAAAACAAATGAGGAGTCCTCCAAAACAATGGGCCGCTGCGTGGACTTAAACTCCAAACCAAAAGGAAACAGAAAGTTTTGGGGGGGTCCCCTATTTTGAGAAACATGTGGGACTACCCAAAACCCAACCTTTGGGGCCTCCGATTCAGCCACAAACATCCCTCCAGCAGAATCAACCGAGTAATAACATGAGCCCCGTCTCACCATGCTGCTGCTGACTACTACTAACTACCTGCCGTTACCTGCCGTTACCTGCCGTTACCTGCCGTTACCTGCCGTTACCTGCCGTTACCTGCCGTTACCTGCCGTTACCTGCCGTTACCTGCCGTTACCTGCCGTTACCTGCCGTTACCTGCCGTTACCTGCCGTTACCTGCCGTTACCTGCCTGCCTGCCCGTCTGCCTGGTGTCTGCCTATCTACCCGCCTAGCTGCCCAGGTACGTAGCTACCTAGCTACCTACTCCCTAATACATACAACCTGCTACTACGCACTACAGACCACGGACCACGACAAGGACAGCTCCTGCTCCTACTACTGTTGCTGGTACTGGTACTGCCACTGCTGATACTTTGAGGTGGCTGTTGGACAAATGACACATCAAAGTGCCAAGCGCACACGCATCAAAGCGCCGGGAACGCCGGGAATGTCTGTCAAAGCAACCCATACCCATGTGTCTCTTGGCAGCATCCCGGCCTTCAGTGAGGCACTGGACCTGACTCCCGCTTCACGTGGATGGTTAGAACCTGGCACGATGGCTTCCCGAAGATTGCAGCTTGGGGAAGGGGGCCTGGCAGCAAATCTCCCATGGTCCGCGTATTGTTTGGTGCTATTTCAAGGAGCAACTAAGCAGTCATTCGCCAGCTAGGGAACTAAGACACGCAACGGAGACGGTCTTCCACACCTTGCAGGGGCTGTTTGGTGTGACAGGAGCTTCTCACACCTTGCTGGCGTTCGCGGGTTTGTTTCAACATTAGGTGCGTGTGCGTGTGCGTGTGCGTGTGCGTGTGCGTGCGCGTGCGCGTGCGCGCGTGCGTGTGCGCGTGTGCGCGTCTTGTCGCGTCTTGTGATGTCTTGTGAGTCTTGTGAGTCTTGTGGTCTTGTGTAGTCTTGTGAGTCTT